ACGGTTACCACCAGCCATGAGTAATCATTCTCTATGGTAGGACTACGGTACAGGTATTTAAAAGATTTGGTGATTGTTATAGTCTCAATTTATTGTAAGTCAAGTCAGGCAGGATATAATAGTTAATTCTGCCACCTTTCTTGTGAGCTTGAAACACTTCGGAGGATTAGACTCTAGGGACCCGAGATTTTCCAGTGACAATTTGTTTCATTGAGCTCTTTATTATATCAAGGGAACTGTCATAGGGCACTCTTGATTTGTTGGTAAGAAGACTGTATGGTCATAAATACATATTGCTTAATTGAAGCAGGGATCGAGCCCTCTGGTTTATTTACAGTTTGAGCAAAGCAGGAATTGAACCCTCCGTTATCCTTAATACCCGTTTCATTTCCCCTGATAGCTTAAGTTATTCTTGCAAGTATGGATGAATACCAGTTTTGGATGAATGCTGGAAGTAAGTTAGGAATAACAGGGAAAAATTTAGAATCTTTCATTAGTGCTACGATCCAGGAAAGACTTGAAAGAGAGAGAATTGAGAAAGAAGAAAGATAGTTAGAAAGGGAAAGAGAAGAAGAAAAGGAGAGAGAGAGAGAATCGAAAGAGAAGAGAAAAAGGAGAGAGAGAGAATTGAGAGAAATCAGAAGACAGTTAAAAAGAGAGGAGAAGAAAAAAAAGGAGCATGATAGATTTGTCGTGAGGGGGAAAGCTAGAATATGTGGGAAAAGCTAAGATCGTGGGAACAGGTTAAAATTTAAGGGGAAATTGGGGAAAGAGCAAAGGACAGAGAATAGGTTTAAAGGGGGAGAGAGAAAGGATCGCGGCTAAAACAAACTCGCCTAAATTAGAGATAAGAAGTAATTTTTCTCACAACAGCAATTAGATAAAGGGAGAAAGGGAACAACGTGCAGCTAGTGCACATTTTCCCAAAACACCAAATTTTACCTCCCTTCACAGAGGGGGAAAGGGAATAATTAACATTTCAATTTTAAAAATACCGCTACCCCCTTTTGAAGGCCTGTGACCCCGGGTACCAGGGTTGGAATGTTATTTTCTGGTACACTTTTGAATATCTATGCAACTTTGTCACACGCTATCATATGTAAAATTTTAAACCCAATGAAGAAGGCAAACCCTTTAAAACATGTAAAAAAACACTAAATTTTTACAGGGAAAAATTTAGGTATGCCACCTTTTAGCTGGGCCCGAACTTTCAACAGTTACAGGTAAACTCTTTCGTTTGTTGATTTTGGGGTGAGTTCAGGAATTGATCACAGTTATGAATTTTTCGAGACTTCATGGTTGCTGACCAGTTTCCCGACAGTCTTCCTCACAGTTTTCGAACTTCATTAGAGAAGAAAACCCGATTAAAATGAGGAAGTTGTGGGTGCTGACCTGTATGCTGAGGCTCACAAATTTCCCATAAAGACCTAAAGGGATCGAACCCTTAGGGAAGGGTTTTTTAGACCTTAAAAAAATCAAAGCCTCCTATGTGGAAAGTAAAAATGACTTTTTTATTCCCGTTTGTATTTTGTGGTGTTAAGGGACAAAAGTCCCCATTGTCCTTCTAGAAGGTTCAAAAAAATGGAAAATGTTTTAAAGCTGTAATGACAAGCACCCTTCTATTCAGGAACAGTTAAAGGACTTAATGTACTACCATTTTAGAGCACTGGAGCCATGTTTTAGTAATTTTGAAAGTGTTCCCCAACTTAAAAAAAACTATTCCTTGCTTTACTTTTAGACTATTTGGCCCTACAGACACTTTTCCTACCCTCCGTTGTTTTTCATTAGGTTTAAATGGTTCAAGGTTGGTTGAAACCATACTAGCTCTCATCACTTTTTGCCCGTACTAATAGGTTGTAAAAGGTGCCCTTCTTCCTTTTTGAGGGGTTTACCTTTCATCGCCAAAGATGGACATAAGTGTTTCGTCCTCTTCTGTTAAAATCAGAGAAACCCTCGAAAGTCAGATGAGAAAAATGTCTCGTGAATTATGCGGGATTAAAAACAGTGAGCTACTTCGAAAGCGAGGTGTAGGATCACCGGTTCACTTGTTAGATGAAGTGAAGTTATCACCTCCGTTAACCATAATTGTCTTGACTAGGGATCAGACCAAGCCCAGGCTTCTCCTAATGTCCATCCTTTGATTTTCCCTGACTTCAAGCCTTTAGATATATCCAAAGGTCTCTTTTGTCAATTTACAAACGCATAATTGCCTTCTCTTCAGAATTGCCATAATGACGCTAACTAAATCAAGTTATCCAAAGGAAAAATACTTTTCATATAAATTTGATATATAAAAGGTATCTGTACCAAGTCAGTATTCAAATTAAAATTCAGATGGGACAGGCTATTCCATCTTAGTTGTTCCAAGTCAATGCAGAGAGAATGTTCTTAAATGGCTCATGTACCTGCCAGTGGCCGGACATTTCTCGCATCGTAAACCTTAAAATAAAATTAGGGAAAACCTATTTTTGGCCTACAAATGTCCTCTGATGTCATACCTATTGTAGTTCGTGTAAAGTTTGCCACTCTCACTCCTCCGGAGGTACCAGGCGAGTTACTTTGGTCAAAATGCAATCTTTATGGTACCTTTCGAAAGAGTAGATATTGACATACGTTGGTCTTTATTCTTCCACTGTCATCTGGGGGTCATTGATATATTTTAACATTAGTGATTATGCTTCCGAGTTTCCTGAAGCCGTTTCCTTAAAGACCATAACTTCTAACAGAGGTGGTGAAGGGCCCTTTTGGCATCTTCTCCTGAGTGGGCATCCCTAGGAAATTTGTCTCAGCGTGGGACACAATTCACATCTGACTTAAGGGCCAACATCCTCTACAACTTCATGAATGTTGGACATAATGGGGAGGTAAATTGCTGAGGTTCAGTCTTGTTCCAGTGTTCTCTTTGACCTTAGTTCAAACTTGAGGAGACCTCCTGACATAGTTTCGAAAAAAACTTAATTTGTCCAATGGACCAATACAAAAATATTTTGATTCCAAAAGTTAGAGGAGAAGTTTTAAGTAGGGGATGAAGTCTTGTACTTTGGCCTATCAAGTCTAATAAAAATTATTAGAAGCATGGATTGGTCCATATAAAGTTTATTAAAAAATTTGTGGGAAAAGTTGACTACCTCATAGAAGTCATGGGGAAACCTAACTTTATCATATCACATCCCTTAAGAATATTTACGAAGAATTCCGTTAACTGCACTTAACTATACTTGACTTAGTTTTTCCACACGAACTTGATACGACACTGAAGAATGTAAGGTGTGCTTAATGAGCACCTATAACTTAGGCTAGATGAAGAACTACATGACTTGGTGACTCTTGTCCCACTCGGGCGCAACCAACATACTTATTAATGAATCTTTGGTGACCATAAGATACAATGAATACTTCAAGTGTGTGTAACTTTTCAGACGGCTTTACTTATATTCCAGGTGTTATCACGTAGTCCTAAGAATTGACTTAGAGACGGACAATCCTTTCAAACGAAAATTATACAGTTCCAGTTCACCTTACGGGATGCATGTGACCGAGAGTAGACAAATTATAAAAACTAAAGATCATTGAACCTTCAGTATCTCATATTGTTCACCAGTCGTCATGGTAAGAATTAGGTAATTCATATAGACTTGACTATTGACTTCAGAGGCCTTAATGATATAACTCGGTGGGGTGCTGAGGGCCTATGCCACTTAATAGAATAGCGATCTACACAAATTTTATGACGCTTCCTTCTTTTTCAGAGATGGATTATTGCGCAGGCATATCATCAAGTAATGTTAGATCCTTCTTCTAAGCTGTACACAACTTTTCCTACACACGAGGACTGATGCATTATGAACTATGCCCTTGGTTTGGTAACTGCCTGTGCTAACCTATGTGAGACTGATGAGGAAAGGTCTTGGGTAATTTGCAAAATGTTTCAGTTTTATTTTGAGTACATTTATCATATGACATCTACGTGGGGCGAACTTATCCAAACATTAACATCAGTTTTGCGTTAGGTTACGCTCACATGGCCTCACTGCCATGCCGATGGAATTGATTCCTTGGGTATAAACAAGATTAGATTATTTGGACTGATACTTTCAATAAACTCTCCTGCAGTCTCTCCCCAGTAAGATCAAAGCTTCTATTAAAATTTAAATTCCCCAAAACCATGAAGCTCTGGTAGGGCTTTCTGGTTCTGTAAATTTTTATGCACGTTTTTCCCGACCTTACTGATCTTACAGGCATCTTATCCAGACTTCTTAATAAGTCTGTGAAGGAACATCTGGAACTTTAACAACGTAGCTCGGGAAAAGTTTAATAAAGATGAAAAAGCATCTTTTCGAAAGACCCTTACTTAGGATTTCCAGATATTATATAAAAACATTTGTTTGAGAAACTGATGCCTCCAATACTGGCTTAGGTGTGGTGTTACTCAATACCATGATGGTTCTCCCTTCCCTGTATGCCTTCCTAAGCCGGAAACTCCTCCCACAGAAACAAGAAAACTCCACCATAGAAATGGAATGTTTAGCCCTTGTATGGGGTATCTCTCAAACTTAAATTATATTTGCTGGGGAAAAGAATTTCATTTTAGAAACGGACCACAAACCTTTGATTACCTAGAAACTTTTAAGGGAACCAACAGTCGCCTCTTGTGGTGAACATTGGCACTCTAGCGCTTTTAAGTTCCTATTGTGATATAAGGGTTCATCACAATTATTTACTCTGGACTGTTAAGTTCGTGAAGTCAGTAGAAGATTTCTGCTTTACGCGACTTTCCACATGTTAGAACTTTTTCACTCACCTATTCTTCTTTATCCTTGACTATAAGGTCTTGGTAGGGGGGAGTGTGAGAGAAAAGTTCAATAGATAGGAGTAGCAAGGGAATATATAGTAACAATAGTTTCATTGCCGGCTACTTGTTAAGGTAGGGTAAGTCAAGCTTCCGCTTTTCCTGGCTTTTGTTTGCCCCCTCCCGAAGTGATGTTTGCTTGCCGGCTACTATGCTTAAAGGTTGGGTAAGTCCAGCTCCCGCTATTCCGCCTTTTCTTCCCCACCCCGAAAGTGTAGTTTGATCCGGATGCTTGTTAACCGTAGGGTAGTCATAGATCCCACTATCCTTTCCCGCTTCATCTTCCCTTCCCCCGGAAAGGGTGGACATGAGGGGCTTTGGTCCGAACAGTAATTTCAATCGACTCACAAGCTCCCAAAACAATACTGTAGTACATTGCCGCCTTGTATTCTAGTGGATTTATTGGTTGAAAGCTTCACTTTGAACCAATAATAAACTTATTCTTTTAAGCCTTGCTCTTAGTTGACTGTTGAAATATCACTACGTCATTTAGGTTTTGTACTTACATAGAGATTGTTTTATGTAAACAGTGGGTAACCATTCTTTTCAGCTTGGATGACAGAGAGGGTCACCTAGTCTATCAACGAGAAGAACTGACGGAGTTGGACTAACGTCTGAAGACGTCCCATATTGGATTTAATTACCTGTGCTACTGTTTGAAAATTGCAGGACATAACCCCACATCATTGGCAGCAGTAAAGACCTGCTTTCCTGACTTGGGATAGAATACTCACGGCGATACTCTGTGAAGAACTAGCGGTGGTGGTCACCAACGCCTGCGACCCTCCCCCCCACATCAGCAATGGCTAAGATTTCAACAACACGAAGTGTCACCAACACCAGACACCCCAATATATATATTAGCGTTGAGTTCAAATGTTATTTTATTCATTTCATTTTTCATTTTTCTTTCAAATAGGATATACCTGTCATGTTTTATTGTTTTATGTTTGCTTTAATAAATAATAAAGTGTTTATCTTTGTTAATTATTATTTCGTTTTCTTTTCATTAATTTTTCTAAGGAGGAGCCAGCTTTGGTAATACTGTCTGAAGTTATTACAGAGCTGAGTAAGCCTTCACACTCTGTCTCATACCAGTCCTTTCCCTTCTCATTCATATCATCCGTATTAATGATCTAACCATAAAAGAAAACTCACAAAAGGGTATTACACTCCCTACAAATTACCATTGGTAAGCATTGTGAGATAAGTGGAAAGACAGCGCTTCCGTGTGTTCGTAAACACTGCTTTAGAAGTGCTAAAAGAAAGACTTTCAGGGGATTTTCCTGGATGCCAGTGACATTATTATTATTATAATCAAGGGGGAAGCGCTAAATCCGTAGGATTATACAGCGCCTGGGGGGGGATGTGGAAGGCATTCAGGCTTAATTCGGGGAACTGGAGCACAGATCCAATTCCCTAAATCAAGAGCACCTCACCAACATCAAGGAACCTTCCCTGAGGGGCTGATGCCAGTGACAGGGTGATGATTCAGAGAAATGGAGCTAACCTCTGTTCCATTCCATCGAATCTTTTTCCCCTCCCATTTCCCAATGCGAATTATGATCCCAACGAGATTAGCGCTCTCTCTCACACATTTCTCAGGAAAAAATTACTTAACGCAGGAGTGTGTCATTAGTTGTCATGATGCTGACCAAGGTCTCTTGATCTCAGGAATTAAATGTACACTCCTCTTTCTCGGATAAAACTTGATTACTTTCCATTTTCCAAGAGTTATTAGATCTTTATTATTCTAGTGCTTCATATACTCGCATATAATTTTATCATCACAGTATTAGTCCTGGCTTCCAGAAAGTAAATTATTACAATAATTCTGCAAGAAAAGCAAAATAACACTCTTTCTATACAATACACTTATTGCCATTGCTAATTAATTTCTGAAATTTGATTTTCAACCCTAGGTAGTGGGGGACACAGTAGAGCAGTGCTTCGGAATTACTTTCTCTACTTTCTTAAGAGAATCACAGACATCGTCCACTGTCACTGCAATGATCTTCAACATGTTTGGCTTGACATGGTGCCTGACCGGGCCTTTCATGGAACCTCTGGTGTCTGAGTTTGGTTGGAGGAGGGTGGCTTTTGTGGGATCCATCATGCTCTCCTTCTCCACCGTCTCCTCAGCCTTTGTCGCCTCTCCTTGGGTCCTCATCTTCACTTATTCTGTTCTAGGAGGTGAGAATATTCACACATGCCAGAATGATATTTAATGTTTTAATGCATCTGACCATGCCGTACATTAGCAAAAGTCGCTGACATAATGACAGAATGAGACTTAAGTCTCAGTATTTGATCTTTGCCGTAGTCCGAGACATAACAACACCAGTGAAAAATTCGAGTTATGTCACAGCTTCAAGAAGACATTATTCATGGAAATTCAGAATCATGGTTTTAGAAAAACTCAGTTGCAACAAAACAAATTAGACTTAGGACAAGGTTCTGTAAAATGAGAATAATATTGAGGCCTATACAGCCGTTCCTAAATAACTCTTGACCATCGATTATAGATCACACAAGAAATAGGTTCTTACATTAATGGCTTCCGAATATTGGATAACATCCTGAAGGTAATTCAATACTATACATCAGTGTTTTTTAACCAGTGTGCCGTGGCACCCTGGTGTGCCACTGACAATGCCCAGGGATGCAGCAAGAGTGTTAGTAAGTTTGCTGTAGCTTCATCGTCTTAATTATAACACCACAATTGTTTTGAATAATATTAGTTGTATATTTAACTACTACAGAAGAGTTGCTATAATTTTTCCGAACAGATGTCATTAAAAGGTAGTCTGTTATATTATCATAGTAAATATATAATTAATATGTAATCAAGGGGCATTATGATGGGAAAGTAAATATATATAATAGCCACCGTTTGCATTAGGTTTACAATCATCATTTTCTTTGCTCACGAAATCGTAATGACACGATTGCAAACAAACCATACTATGGGGTGGGGTTTGAACCCGTGATCAGAGTGTCTCAAAACTCCAGACCGTCATGTTAGCCACTGGGCCAGCTAACTTCGATAAAATTCATCCAACTAGGTATATTTCTACACCATAGGACCTCTTCAAGGGGGGCTCCTTGGCGTGGTGAAGAGGCTCTTGGTCTGAGGAATTAGACCTGTCGGTCTACTTCCTCAGACCGAACCTAATTACCCCCCAATCCCCCGTTCCCTATCCCATCCTCCCCATCCTCCCCTTTTTCCTTTCCTCCTCCTCCTCCCCACCCCTCCCTTTTGCCCTTCCTTTTTTTTTTTTTTTTTTTTTTTTTTTTTTTTTTTTTTTTTTTTTTTTTTCCACAGGGGGATGTCCTGATCCCTCTCCAGTATCCCGGAGGGTGGCTTTGGGTGTCTCTCGGGCGACGGGTGTATCTCTGGAAGCCATCTTTTGGATTCTGGGGGTGGTGGCCGAAGGAGGTATGCTTTGTGGTGGATTTCCGGCCGCCCTCTCTTTTGTCCACCGAGGTAGCTCAGCAGATGTGAGGTTGCTATCCCGGATTGCCGGTTTACTGGCATGATGGGTAGGGTATGGCATGGGTTCCATGCTGCATCTGTGCTACTTGAAGTGCTGAGGTCCTCTTGGGCGTGGAGGGAGATTTCTGGCCCTTTCATTCCTCCTAGGAACTATCCCTCCCCGGTCCCCCCTTTTTTATTCTTTTTTTTATTTTTATTTTCTTTTCTTCTTTCTTTTTTTTCTTAAAAACAAAAAAAAAAAAGAAGTAACCTAACCATGGCAGCCCTAGTCCATGAACCTGCTACCCCTGGGCCCCTTCTTGATACCGCACCCCGTTCTGATCCCGCCTCATCTTTGGACCACTCTTTGGACACTCCTCATGCCTCTGTACCTCTTGCTGGTGCTGTTTCCTCACCCGCTTCAGGTACTGAGGCCTCGACTGACTCCTTCGATTTATCTGACCTTCGCTCTCCTCTTACTATGCTTCCGGCCTCTCCCTCTGCGGTGCAGCAATTTTCGAATCGCCGGCCCGTTCCACGTCGGACCAACTCTGGTCCCACGCCTAAACGCCAACGACAATTACCTGCTGATGATACTTCTCCACCTTCTCGTTCTTCTCAGAAAAGATCGACACATCCTTCACTACCTTTCCACGCTCAGTTTCAGACTGCACAATGGACTAAATTCTTCACTTTATGACCGACTTCCTCTACTGCCTATCTTTCTGACCACAGTATTGGAAAGGCACTCCTACGCCATGTTGGTAAAGATATTTCTTTTCATGCTCTTAAGAGCGGTACGCGCATCATCACCATACAGAATGCTACCCAGGCTCATGAGCTTTCTCGTCTTTCCCATATCGATACTGTTCCTGTCACTATTGAAAAGCATCATTCCCTCAATTCTTGTAGTAGTACCATCATTCTGCCCCATACCATAGTTCAACAAAATTTCCAGACATGTGGCACTGACATTCTTGAACAGCTGGAACTCCAAGATCTCCCAATCCTCAAGGTAGACACCTACGTTCTTCCTGCCCGCGGGCGGAGACGATACCCTAGCAATGTGGCTCATTTAACTTTTGTCAGCCGTGAACTCCCATCCTCAGTTTATGTAGCAGGACATCGGTTACAAGTTCGAAAGGTGATCCCTACACCGCAACAGTGTAGAAATTGCTGGCGATTTGGCCATCCAGTGAAACATTGCAGATCTATCGCCGAATGCCCAGTCTGTGGTGCCGATGACCATTCTAATACGTCTTCCAATCGACCTCCCTCTTGCCTTAATTGTCATGAGGCTCACCCTTCGTACTCTCGCCGTTGTCAAGTCTACTTAAACGAGCGGAAAATTCGTTACCTCAAAGAGGCAGAAGGTCTCCCTTATGCCATGGCAGTTTCTCATCTCCGCCTCCAAGGGAGACTACCTCGTGTTTCTTATTCCCGTGTTTCAAAACGTCCCCCCACTTTTGGTATCCCATCATCTGCACCCACCTCTGTGGTTACCTCTCCCATAGTCACTCCTGTAGCTAATTCTTTTGCTGTCTTCGGCTCAGATGTCCCTACTTCAACGTCTCAGTCTGATCTCGCTTCCTTGTGTTCTCTCTCACAAGCCTGAGTAGCGACGAGATCTCGTATGACACCTCCTCCCAATCGTCCCTCTACTTCTCAAAAGTCAAAAAAAAGGTCTGTTAACATCTCCCACCCATCTTCCACCTCCTCATTTTCCCTTCCCTGTCTCTGTACCTGGTTCTCCCCCTCTCACTGGCTCTGTTACAAGTGTAGAGGTTCACCCTCCTCCTCATACTGTACCTTCCTCCCCTGTTCCCTCCCAAGATTCTTCCTCTTCTGCCACCTCCCAGGTTTCTGCCTCTTCTGTCCCCTTCCACGCTTCTCCAGTTCCCTCCACCCTTTCGCCCCCCCCTACCTTGGTACAGTCCATTACAGTTCCAATCTTTACTCATCCTCCCCATACCATTTCCAATTTGTCTCCCATACGACGTCTCTGAATTCTGAAACACTTGAAGCATCTCTGAATATATTGCAGAGACCAAACCATCAGTGGACACTGATCCACCCTCCGCTCCTTCTCTCTCCTCTACTCCATCTGCGCAACTCCTTTCTTCACAGCCCACCATTCCTTCGCTGCTTGAACGTTTTCCACTGCCTCCGCATGTGGACTTTTCTAACCCCTCTAGTCCGTAGGAACCCTTACCTGCGGATTTCAGGTATCTTTATCATTGCCAATCATGGCCTATTTACAGTGGAATATACGCGGCCTCAGGGGTAATCGGAGTGAGCTTCAGATATTACTCTCCCAGTTTTCCCCTGTTGGTGTTTGCTTACAGGAACCAAAATTACACTCTGCTGTTATCTCTCCCATCTCAGGCTTTTAATTTATTGTATTCTTCAGATCCTTTTCTTGATGGGGCCTTTAATGAAAGTGCCCTTCTTCTACACACTGATATTCCGTACCATCAGCTATTTGTTCGTACTTCGCTGCATTACACAGCAGCCCGTATCCACTTGCATAGGTGGTATACGCTCTGTTCTTTATATCTCTCTCCTTCTCGGGCATTATCTATTCCGGATATTGCCTTTCTTGTTTCGTCATTACCACCACCGATTCTGTTACTTGGTGATTTTAATGCCCACCATTTCCTCTGGGGGGTCTCACTGTGATTCCCGTGGCATTCAGTTAGAGGCTTTTCTTGCCCCACCCCCTCCATGTTTTAAATACAGGTACTCACACCCATTTTGATCCTCGGACTCACACTCTCTCTTGCATCGATTCTTAGTCTGCTCTTCCTCCGCCGCATTAGACTTCACTTGGTCTGTTCTTCCGGACTTACATGACAGCGATCATTTCCCAATCATTCTTACTTCCCCTTCATATTCACCACCTCTTCGCATCCCACGCTGGCAATTTGATCAGGCAAATTGGAACCTTTACTCACACCTAACTGTTTTTAGAGAGGTTCCTTCTTCGTCCTCCATCGATGAGCTTTTACACCTCTTCTCATCCTCCGTTTTAGCCGCAGCTTCTCATTCTATACCCCAAACTTCGGGCAGGCATTCTCAGAAATGCGTGCCTTGGTGGTCTCCTGCTTGTGCTCGTGCAGTACGTTTGAAACGCGCTGCATGGGGCAGGTACCGGTACAATAGAACCAAAGAGAGACTTCTTGATTTTAAGCAGAAGCGTGCGATCGCTCGCCGTGTCATCCGTGATGCTAAACGCACTTGCTGGCGAGATTATGTCTCCACCATCACCTCTGCTCCTCTATGAGTGCAGTCTGGAAAAAAGTACGAAAACTGAGTGGTAAATATTCTCCTGACCCGGCTCCTGTTCTGCGGGTTGCCCGTGTTGATATAGCAAACCCACTAGATGTTGCCAATGAAATTGGCAATCATCTGGTCCGTATTTCTCAGGGACTCCATCTATGCCCCTCATTTCTTTCCTCAAAGTCTGCCAGAGAGTTAGCACCCTTAGACTTTTCTTCTCTTAGAGAAGAACAGTATAATGTGCCTTTTACACTTCAAGAACTGGAGGCAACACTCTCAGCTTGCCCATCATCGGCAGCTGGGCCCGACGACATTCATATTCGTATGCTACAACATTTACATCAGTCAGCCCTTGCAGTCCTATTACGCCTTTACAATCTTATTTGGTCACAAGGAGTTCTTCCACAGCTGTGGAAATCCGCCATTGTTCTCCCTTTCC